AACCTGTTTCTTTGACGGATTTGATAACAGCTGCGGCAGTTAAAAAGGCTTACAGAAAGGCGACGCTTTGCATCCATTCTGATAAAGTCCAACAAAAAGGTGCCAATCTTCAGCACAATAGAAGGAACAGGTTATTGACATTCTGAGGATGATTGTCCTGCACCCTGATGAGGCAACAGCACTTCTCAGGCATGTTGAAGTCAATGGTACGTAGCTTAAAAATTGTCCACTATTTAATCTACCGTTATTTTTGAAAGGTAATTGTTGCAACTGGAAAAGTCCCTCTAAACGTTTTATTTTAGCCAAAGAACTATATATGAATCTATCCTAATTTTATTTGACAGTACTCAAATGAACTTGTTAGCTCCTATTTTATTGATGAAACCTCTATGGACTGCCTTATAAACTAGATGGCCTGAGTTGGATTGGACCTCTAATTGCTCTGGCATAAACATGTCATTTAAAATCTATACATCAGATAGTAGATAATGTTGTGTGCAACTGTTCCTCTTTGTTATATCCTATATTAAGTTCTAACTTCAAATTTATGTCCTGAACTAGATGTGGTAATGGAAATGATTATGAAAGTCTCAACCGAACCTGCAGTTCCAGCAAATCTTTTAACCAGGATCCGTGCTGTATCTGATTTTTTTTTCAAGAATTCAAGCTACCATGGATGGCTGCCAAAGCATCAATGTGATGTAAGTTTCCCTCTATTAACCTTTCAATTTTTTTTGACTTTGTCCTTCAGCTGAGTACAAACTGGGATGTTGAACTCCTCGGCACTCATGTCTCTTTTCGCAGCCTTGAAATGGACCTAGCTTGTCATTGATGTGAAAATATGGCCTTGTGTGCCTTGATGGATGTTTTATCTTCTACGATTTTCTCGATTTGTGCGTGTCATCCTTGCGCAGGGGCCATGCTAATCTTCTCTGTATCGTTCCAATTTTATCGGATGTCCCCGAAGGGACTATCTTCTACGATTTTGGTATTGATTTTTAGAGGGTTTTTTTTTTTTTTGGATATTCTTGCAGATTCTTGATGCATTGTCAAGTTGTCTTGCATCTCCAAACAAGAATTTACAGTTGGCTTATTCTACACTTATACTAAAATAAGCATTCCGTTAATGTAAACATATACATGCGTTTTGTCATTTACCAATTCCTTGAACATATTGGTTGATAAATAGTCAATAGCTGATTGTAAAATAACATTCCTTGAAATTTTAATAGAATATTATATGGAACTTTCTAACTTCTGACCTCTTTAGAATCAAATTAGCTAGTATAGCGGTAATATTGCAATTATTGTAAAATAATATTCTATGGAACTTTCTAACTTATGCCTTGTAAAATAGTTGGCCTTCATTTTAAATGGGGGGTTTTATCACCATATTCCCATGTTTTCCCTCTTTGAAAATATGTTTTCAGATTCAATTCACACATATTTTCTGTTTAAAACAATAGACAACTTTTTTTAGGATTGTGATTAACCGAGCTCTTTTTTTTATGGCGCATCGTTATCTATTTCAAGTGAAGCATTGAAGCGTGCAATGAGTCTCCTTGGTGATCCGAAGCTAGGAGATTTATTTGGTGAAATGGATAAAGAGGTTGAACATGTAAGAGCTGAGAGGAATTTGGTTGCAGAAGTTGCCAGTTTGAGAGAAGACAATCTATTATTGTTTTCAAGATGCTAAGTATCTATCATGGAGTATCTTGCTGATGACATGATGACTTTGTTAATGAGAAAAGACAGTCTAACTAAGACTATGGCTAGAATTTGCATTGCTCAAAGTGTTCTTGTCTTTGTTTATTCTAGTTAATGATGTTGAAGTACATTACATTTCACTTGAATGTTTGTAAACTTTTATTTATTTATGTCAACTATTTTTACTTAATTAGAGTTGTAATTAAATTTTAAGGTTGTTATTGGTTATTGTTACATGATATTAAATTTGAGTAATAAATAGCAAAAAATAACATTTGCAAATGAGGTGTCATTTGCGGTATTTTAAGGTAAAAAACGCCACTAATGGACTACACAAGTGTGGCATTTGTGCAACAAACGCCACTAAATGACTTAACATTTGTGGCGTTTTGTTCCAAAAATGTTGTTAAATGACCTAACTTTTTGCGGCGTTTATTTAAAAAATGCCGCTAAATGACCTAATTTTTTGTGACGTTTATTTCAAAAACGCCACTAAGTATCTTAACCTTTTGCGCGTTTTGTTTTCAAAACGTCACTAATAGTTGTGGCACCAGCATTACTGGCGATTTCTGCAGTGCTTTTTTTGTGTCGGGAGCTGTTTTAGCGGCGCTTTAAAATGCCGTTATAGACTAAGTCTGTTTATATATATATAGTTAGGGAAGGAGAGATTATGAAGACGTCAGAAAAATTTAAAAAAAATAAGTGAAAGATGCAAAAATGTAGTAGTGTTGCACACAATTCCATGTGCTCCCGTCATTATATGCAGAGATTTGGCTTGGTTTTCCGAGCTTTCTCTTGGGTTTTGCCACTATTCTTCTTCTTCTTCCATTTTATTACGTTGTCATCTCCATTTCTAATTACCTTTTGAATGCTAATATGAGTACAACACTGTTAGTATTTCTTTTGTGCGTGAAGAAGAGAAAGGCTTTAGCTTTGACGGCGTTGAATGTGCTTTATTCCTTGTTGGTTCTTGCAAAAGCAAACCCACGTTCCTTTCTTTCAACTACTAATATACCAATGGTTTCAAAACCCAGATTCAGTTCATGTATATTCATATTTTCAGTGTTTTTAATATTTTAAATCATTAAGAAATTATGTTTAATATTTTCTTTTAAATACATATTGGTTTATTTAGGAGTTGGACCAAAACCCATGATTTAATGGCAAAATCATGAGATTGCACCTTGTAAATCATGAGATTAGTTTTCAAGATAATTTTGGTGGCTTTTATATCATTTAGCCCCACATTTCCCAATTTTCTGTCCAGCTTTCTGCCAACAATAATCCAAATTTACCGGCCAGTCCAAACAAAAATTTAGAAAGATAAATATAATTTAAGACCTTGATTTAATAGTAAAAAGTGGTTTTGAATTTTGGTTCACAATTGTAATCTTTGTAATTATAGTTCAAAAAGTAATTTTTATTACTTTATGATGATTACAAGTGATAGAATTTAAAGATATTAGTATCACAGGTGTATATGTATATTAATTATTTTTTGGAAATATAATAAATTTATAAAATACTACTTGATAATATTATTATATGATATATCGCACTAGTTGATTTTAAGAACTTACATGTTAACTAAAGGGATAAATTAATAAACTTTTAAAGTGCAAAAATCTAATTAAATAAAAAAAATAAAAAATAATTAATATTTTGAAAATTCAAAAAGGAAAAACACACCTTTAAATCTTGTAGTTTAGATATCCATTCATAAAAATATATTTTATTATAAATAATATTAAATTCAAAATGCCATATGGTTGGACAAAAGCTGCGAGTAGAGTGTTGTGTCAATGAAGAGAGCAACGCATGACACAAGCATTTGATTTATCAGTAATGGGAAAATTATATTATTACCAAATAAAGAAATTCAATTTACCTTTTTTTTAACAAAAAATAAAATATAAGAAAGAAAGGAAGAATAAAAAAGAAAACTACAGCCAAAGGGAGGGCAACCAAAAAAAGAAAACTACAGCAATGAAGCGCGTGCAATAAGCTCCAATCACGGAGACAAGATTCAACAGCCAGGTCCACATGCTGACAAACCAGTACTTCGTCTCCTAGTGAGTCGTGACTGAACACGCGCTTACGAGCGTCGTACTTAGGACATGGGTCCGACACTCTATTCGCTTGTCCTAGAGCCAGTACCCAACAGCCATGCCTTACCAAATCACCCTTTGACACTTCGAACCTGTTGTTGCCCTTTGGCAGTCATTTTACGTTATTGTTATTATTATTAGGGTTTGCTTAATTTCCATTTTCCCTGATTCAATAATAAAGTAAGGCCCTCTTGCTTTTTGAGGTATGTGTATAGCATTGATACCATCACTATGATGAATGCAGTACATAAGGAAAACACATGATATATTCATATATTACACAACACTACGATAAATTTTAGTTATATAGATTTGAATGGGATTTTGAAATCTTTTATATATCCTTACTCCAATTACTTTATATCTGTAATGAGTGGATGCTGATTTTCTTATGACTGTAGTTGTTGAGAACAAATGACGTATAAAGATCATTGATAGTTTGTCCTTTTTATTTACGTGGAGAGACATAGTTGATGATTATACGATGATTGATACGTAGCGTTAATAATAAGAGGAGATAAAAAAAATACAAAATCTAAAAGAAGTGTATAAATGCGATCCTAAGTCAATAGATTTGACATTGATATTTATGGAGGTATTGTCAAAAAAATCGTCAACCGGAAAACTTTTATGCAAGAGAGTCCATCGAGAGGTATAACAAACACCTCCTCGTTCCTAACATCTAAAAAGAAACAAGTAGAGTCTCAAATCATGAACAACATCATTGGCAGCTGTCTTATGTCTCACCTAATTGTCATTACCAAACTAAATTTATACAATATTTATCTTTCTTTTGTGCCTCACCATGCAATAATGGCAGCAATCTCCAATATTTTATCTCATAAGAGTTGAGAAATCTGATGTCGATTGTCCACCATTTATGCACTGCATATAGATGGGTTTTGATATCATTTGGGTGACATAACATCAAACACATGGTAAACATGCTTGAAAAAGAAAGGTTTCGTAATTCCTTACACCAACCCTTTAACTCGAGGATAATAAAATGAAAGGTTTAAGACTGATACACTCACTTCGGAAAACATACTATTCGTACGTTGGAATCTACAAACCCTAATAATTAATGAAGAAAGAAAAAGCCTAATAACCAATTCTAGGGTTTTAGTCCATATGGAGTTGGAATGTAAATAAGTACTTTGTCTTTCTAGTTTCATCACAGTTATATTTTTTTTTTCTTTAATGGAAGCTAAGGGTAGCAAAAGAAAAAGAAGCTCCAACACCCAGTTCTTTAAACAAGATAAGAGATAGAGTGTAAAAGAGAAAACCCAAATCTATAAATTGTTGTTTGTTGATGATGAACTGAAACTCGAAAGATCCGTCCATGGAGTTCCACCCCAGATTCGATCATTTCCTTGAAACCCCAAAAATGTACGATTATTATTATTATTATTACTATCTTCCATTTTCACTGAAGCAATTTGACTTGCCATTGATGAGATCGGTGTCCTAGGCTGAACCTGATGACCAATACCTCCGCTTTCAAATTGGTACGGGGGTTCCAAGCCTCCAAGGAAGAGAAATTGTGGCGGCGGTTGTTGTAGCCGCCACTGGCCGTCCAAACCACTCATAGTCAAAAGTGAAGTTCCGGCGGCACCGCGGCCACTGCCGCCAGCCTCACTTCCTATTTGAAAACTTAAGTGATCATTTGTTCCTCCTTGTGGAGCCGAAATCAAACCGTAATTCAACCCAATATCAGCAGCACTGCCACCATATTCATTAAGGTGAAGCAAGGGAGCCATGAACCTACGTGTAGGAGCCTGAGGTCCAACTCCAAGTTCCAAAATATCAGCTCTTCCACAACTGTTTGAAGAAATAATAGTATTCGAGGAACCGGATGCCATTTGCCGGTCGCCACTCAACGGAGATTTCGATCGGCTTCCTTTGTTTCTCTTGTTCCCACGGCACCCGCCTCCCACAGGGACATTCCTTAGGGCACCCCCTCTAGTCCAATACCTTCTGCAAGTTCTGCAAAAGTGACGAGGCTGTGTAAGGCTGTAGTTGTTGAAGTAGCAAAACTTTGTGTTGGTTGATTCACATCTTGGGCACTTTAATGCTGCCTCCGGCATCGGTATGTTGGCCAAACGAGCTCGATCGGCCATAGAACCCGGCCGGATCGAGCCCGCTCCTCCATCTACTCCACGTGGTTGTGAAGGTGGCGGCGGTGGAGGAGGAGGAGGGTGTTGGGCGATTGCACTGCTACCAGACCCAGCTTGATGATCTGGATGCTGTAAAAAATATAAGAAAAGCAAGCAAAAAAGGAAATCAAATACTTGGTATATTCAACAAGATTTAACAAAAGATAACAATAGGAATATTTATCTTTGAATTTTTTTGACTTAAAAAATGAACAAATTTAAAGAACAAAAATAAAAGAAACCTGACTTGTTGCCAGTTGGGTGGATCAAGAAAGCTGGGATGGAATTAAAACCATGGTTTCCTTGATTGATTTCTTCACTTATGTAAAGGCAAATAATAATGGGTGAGAAATGAATCCATCAAACAAAGAGATCAGAAAGCACAGCAAAGAAGATGAGATGTGGAATGAGGAAAAAAGAAACAAAAATCAAAAGGAGACTTAGCTACTTTATATATATTTGTATAATAAATAAGTTATTGCCTCCTCCCACTCGACTCCTTTTGTTTATTGATTTTTAGGGTTACAAAAAGGCCATGTTTCTTAACCTTTAAGCTTTTTGCTTTGCTTTTGTTTTATTTTATGTTTCTTAAGCTGATCACGTAGTGATTCCTTTCTACTTAGAAAAAGAAGAGATTAGTGGATCTCCTTTTGCAATTGCATGCAAGGAGAGAGCATGGCTAAACCAACTTATCTGATTTTATTGATTACCAAGATTTAACTAGATTTTCTAGTGGCAGATTTTGTTCTAAATTGCAAGAATTTCAGACGATAATCTATCTTTGCATTTATGTCTTTGGATATATAGCTAACTGAACTTTAAATTAACTCGACTATAAACCCAAGCGATCTCATAAATAAGAAGGATTTGTTTTATTTAGAAGTTATAGGTTTAAGTAATTGCGTTTGTAGTGTGTGTTATCAATGGTAAAGAAAAATTATGAACAATAATATCTTGTTGTAATCATCCCATACTTTAAAAGAGATTAACATAATTCATGTTGGTACCTTTTAGTGCTAAATTTCATTTTTTTCAAAATAATACCTAACGTTTAATTTTTATTTCATTTTAGTAACTTGTTAAAAACTTAACTTTAATTTTTGAAAAAATATGAAAGTTTAAGTGCTAAACGGACCAAAATGATACATAGACACTAAACGCAAATTTACCCTTATTTTTATTTGGTCCCTCTACTATCTAAATGGAGTATAAGATTTTTTTATTATTATTAAGCTAGGGTGATTACAAAGTAGTATATATATTCTAAATAATCTTAATCATTTGACAATGAACATTCAATCCCTCTGTTGCAGTCGCTGGTGCTCAAACCCATGACCTTTAAAAAACAACAATTCTTTTAATCATTGAGTAAGTTAATTCGTGCAAATGGAATATAAGATTAAATCCTTCTATTTTGGTCTGATATAATTTGGTCTTTATATTTTCATAATGTTATTAGTTAGTCGTGTTCCTATTAATAACGTTGTGAACTGAATCATTAAATAATGATGTGGAATTTATTCTAATTATTGCATTACGCAATTAAGCAGGTACGTGAGGAAAGATTTATTAAATATCTAAATTTCAAAACTGAGAGGAATAAATATTTTATTTGACTAATATTTAAACTAATAAGAACCTAAAATAGTATTATACTAAAAAATTTGAGGGTAATAGCTTCCATACAATCACGGTCATGTGAAAGTTCAATTTACAATTGTTATGTTTCACTTCATCCTTTTATGGAAGCTTAGCAGTGTTATTGATTTAGATTTATTATGTATTATGAAGTTATAGGGACCAAATTATGATAAATTAGAAAAAGAATAAGTATACACCAAAAATAGGTTTTTAGCGGCGTTTTTAAGCGCCGCTAAAAACCCTTTTGGCACAAAAAAAGTGTTGCTAAAACAAACACCGCAAAAGTTTGACGTTCACAAATACTGCTAAAGGTCATGTATTTTAGCGGCGTTTTTTGAACAAATGCGGCTAAAATTTATGATCTTTAGCGTCATTTCTTTAAATGTCGCTTTTTAGTGGTGTTTGTTCCTAAAAATATAACTAAATGTTCTGACATATAGTGGCGTTTCTGAATGTAAAACGTCGCTATTGACTGTATATATAGTGGCATTTTCTATATAAGCGCCGTAAAAGATCTCGAACTTTAGTAGTATTTTGTTTTACAAACGTCGGTATTGACTATGTATTTAGTGGCATTTTATTATACAAATGCCTCTAATTAAACTAATTTTTCAAATGCTATTTTCTACTATTTTATAACCCAAATTTAAAATTTTAACCTGTAGCACTATCCAATAAACTTGAAATCCATAACAACAAACTTGAAATCCAATAATAAATCAAAGTTTATATTAAAGTGAAATATAATGTAGTTCAACATTGTTAACTAGAATAAACAAAACATATATCCAAAATAACACCTAAGATGGTGGACTTTGGGGTTGATTTTTTCGTATCATCTGTATCATAGTTTGAAGTTGATTTTGAAAGTCTTCATATTTTTCTGATATGATGCTTCTCTCTCTACTTCCCTCGCTTCAGTTTCAGCTTTCATTTGAGCAAAATTGCCATCCATTTGAACCAGTTGTTGTATACAATTGTCTACCAAACCAATACCTACATACACAATATTTGAAAATGTATTATCCACAAATAATAATAATTGAAGTGTATGTTTAGAGATGATGGGACCAATCTCGGTATGTATTTAAAACCTGAAGTTGTTCTTCACGTAATGTGATTCATGGACTTGGCAATTACCAAATCGTGTTATTTCAGATCATTTGAGGCATATGATGTTAATAAACAAATCTTTGAGAGCGTGGTTCCAATACTAGAAGGCAAAAACTTATCTCTTAGGGGATTGGTGAGTAAAGTTACTTATTTCATGGTCCTAGTTGTTTGGAGAGCAATGAACATGAAAATGGTATTGTTTTTTTTTCTTTTTGCAGGTGGACCATTCAATTGTCGAAAGCTTTGTTCAAGGTGGAAGGACAATGATAACATCTAGGGTTTATCCGACAAAAGCAATCTATGAGTTGCTAAACTGTTCCTATTCAACAATGCGACCTAGGTGGGTGTTAGTGCTTCATTTAGGATTTGGAACATGACCTCTGCATTCATTCGACCCTATCCAAATCTCGATAACAAGCTCCAATAGGATGTGTTAACCATTGATTCATTCATGTTCCTGTGTCATTCAAAGGTAAAATGAAGTTTCTTGTGTGTAATACCATGTTTTTTTCTTTCATTTTTTGTAAGACTAATAAGAATATTATTGCAAATCAAAGAGTTTAGCTTAAACATAACAAGCAGGGAAATCAAATCATCAAATGACATCTCCAAATGCATAAGAGATTTGAATTTAATAGAAAATTGTTTTAAAAGTGGAATTTAAGTCTAAAAACTGTCCAAAAATTGAAAAATGTATTATCCACAGATTTGTTCTAAAAATAAAAGAAGATAGGAGTAAATTGGTGTAACTTCCCACCAAGAAAAAGCAAGCACATATTCAAAATTCAAACGACTTTAATGACTTAAAATTTTAAATTAATCCGAAACATGAAAGAACGACTTTAAATGACTTAAAGGGATGAGTAAATTATACATCCTAAAATAGGAGAAACATGAAGAATCAACTTTAAATTTGTTCACAAATTATTATTATTTGAAATTTAAGAGAGAATTGAAATTGAATCACAAAAAATAACTTCCCACCAAGAAAACCAATCACATATTCAAAATTAAAACTCTCTACAAAATCTCTTAAACCTAGTTCAAAAAAACCTTAAATTTTAAAGTTAGAAGCAACAACCAACCCTTAATTCATTCCAAAACCCCGTTAAGAAACATTATAAATAAAGTAGATTAAACCCATATACGAAATAATCAAAAATGAAAAAAATAAGTTTTAAGAATCGTAATCAAAAGAAAATGGCTTACAAAGAAATGGAGAGATGAACAATGGTCCAAACGGTTCCAGAGAAGTACCCAAGAGAGAATAATGAGCAAAAAGAAATCAATGGTGTTGGAGGCAAGGGTGGCTGGGCTGACTCGAAATAGTGAGAAGATCTTGATGGGCGTGACAGTGAAGGCCACGACAGCTTCGAACAGCGACAACAACTTCGTGGGTTTGGGTAAACGACAAAAACCTTTGAGAAATGCAAAGAAAAAAGAAAAGGGGTTAAAGGTTTTGGGATGACAAAAGATCGAAATTTGCATCGTTTATATTTAAAAAAGCCACTAATGTTAGACCTATTGCGACGTTTGTATTTAAAAAGCCAATAATGCACTGACCTATTGTGGCTTTTGTTTAAAAATTCCACAAAAGATGTGCTATAGCGGCGTTTCTAGAAAAACGCCGCTAATGTTACCATGTTGTGGTGTTTGTATTTTAAAATGCCACTTATGCACTAATCTATTACGGCGTTTATTTAAAAAATGCCACAAAAGACGATGCTATAGCAGCATTTCTAGAAAAAACACCGTTAATGCTACCATTTTGTGACGTTTGGGATTTAAACGCTGTTATATGTATAAAATTAATGGTGTTTTCTCTTAAAACGCCACTAATACCGCTTCAAACCTATTTTGTTGTAGTGATAATACAATAGAGCGATACCAATAAAGAGCGAAGGAAATTTAAAGCTAGCATTAGTAGTCAAGTTCAAAACTAGCCCATATTGACACGAGGCCATTCTTAACGGTCCAAAATAAAGTTTGCTTACACTTGTAACTTCTTCAATCGCCCCAACCTAGTGTTGAAAAACCAATTCAGAAACATGGAGGAGCAAGTCAAGTTTAAGATGGTTCTATTCTCATCTTAAAACCAACACATTTTAAATATGAAGTGTCTTAATATTTTATTCATAAAATCTATTTTTTTAATTTTATAAGAATAAATTAAAATTTGTCTGATGAAATATAAAACACTGTTGGATTTTCAGGTTCATAAAACTTGTTAAACATGGTGTCTAGCCAATTTCTTGTGTCAAGTAATTTTTGGTTTGTTTCTATCTTGATAGATTATATAAGAACAAATATTTTTTTCCATGAGCAAAATTAAAATGATGATAAAGTCTTCTCTATTTATTCTTAAACATATTGATGGAGTCCTTTTCTCGTTAGAGATCCGGGGCCGGATTTGCTTTAATTGAAAATTTCTACCTTTTAACAGTTCACCAAACAAAACGCTTTGAAGCCGTAGATGATCTCTTAATCGACGGCCAAAAACTGCACAAACACGTGACACGGATCGATGCAAAATACCTTTATCCAACGGGGCCCCTATTTCACTCACTTCAATCCCGGTCTCCAACCAATAAAATCAAAATCCACGGATCAGCCGTAGATAACATACTTATCTGACGGCTTACCTTACTTTACCTGCTCATCCCTTTGCAAACACTGAGAGAACGACACCCTTAGACCTCCCTATTTAAACTCCATTCACGCCTTTTCGTCTGTAGATCTGCTTTTGTTTTCTTCTTCTTTGGAATTCTCTTCGAATTAACAGGATGTCTGGCCGTGGCAAAGGAGGCAAAGGGTTGGGCAAGGGCGGAGCTAAGCGGCACCGGAAGGTTCTCCGGGATAACATCCAAGGCATAACCAAGCCGGCGATTCGAAGATTGGCTCGCAGAGGCGGCGTGAAGAGGATCAGCGGTTTGATTTACGAGGAAACACGTGGCGTCCTCAAAATCTTCCTGGAGAACGTCATCCGTGACGCCGTCACCTATACTGAGCACGCCAGGCGTAAGACGGTCACCGCCATGGATGTCGTCTACGCCCTCAAGCGGCAGGGAAGGACTCTTTACGGTTTCGGTGGTTAAGTTGATATTAGGCTGTAATTAGTTACCTGCTCTGTAAATCCTTTGCACTGGATTGTTGTTTTATGGCTTTTGTTTGGCAAGTAGTGTGATGATGTTCTAATATCAGTGTCTTCAATTAGAATGTATTATTGTTTAAATCTAGAATGCATCAGACCGTGTACATTTTAAATATTGGAAGTTCTGCACAACATGACCGCAAAATCTACACTAATATGAAAAGTACGACAGGGTATATATGTATGCTTGTATAAGTAATTAACCTTAAAGGAATCCTCCACCAGTCCATGCAGAATCTGATTTTCCGTTGTGACCAACAGCCTTTCTATCAGATGAACCGCCATTATATAAGTGATCATATCCATCATCCTTGGCATCATCCCAGCCAGCCCAACCATCGTTGCTACGAGAGGCAGTCACTTTTGTATTATTATCTACCTTCCTGTTGTCTTTCATGTCCCAGTCATCCCAAGAACATGTGTTATAAGAATTATTATTGCCAACAGAAGATTGTCCTCCAGAAGTAGAATTCCATTCTCTATTCTCGTGTTTAAATTCATTATGATATCCATTATTCACACCATCATTTTGTTGCCAGTTATCGGTTTTCCAGTTCATGCCATCTTTAGTGTACTCCTCAACCTTCTGCGAAGCCATTGCCATGACCCCTTTCATGATGCCCCATGTCCTCTGGCCAATCTCACTTGTCCTTGCAGTGACAACATTTACAGTTTCATTAACCCTGGTATCATAGCCACCCTCCTTAACCTGCAAAAAAGGAAGGAAAACAATAATGCTCGTGTATGTAATTCCAAATTCCCCAATATCCTTAAAAGTCGCAATGTAAGGGTAGAAAAGTCATAACTATAGCATCAACGTTGTAGGAAAAATAAGATGCCAAAACTGAAGCAGCATGTTTTTCACCCCAAGGTAGCAACCCAGGCATGTGAGTTTGATTTGAACGTAAGACTCTAAAAGGCCACAAAAAATCCCAAAAAAAAAAAAAATCAGTATCTTTTGCCGAATAAGAATTAAATGGTTGCATTTTTCTAGGGTTTAGAACAATATAAAACAAGAGAATTAATGATTCAAAGAATTCAAGTTTCTCTGCTTTATTTCCAAAGCAGCATTACCCTAAAATCAGTACCTCATATATGTTCTCACTAGAACTGCTATATATATATATATATATAACACAGCAGTCTCGCAATTAAAAATGAATAAAGAATGCTAGACTTCAACAAGTTAAAGGTGCATCTAAACCTTAACAATGCATTCAAAACTTTAAAAGAGCAGTAGAGGGCACAGAGAGAGTAAAAAAATTGTAAAAATGAAAAAGCTAGCAAAATGGAGGAATCATTTCTCTTCAGTTTGGGCATTAGCAAAGAAATGAAGAGAAAAATGAAGTGAAATTATAGGTTAATCAAATTTAAGTCATTGATTGAGAGGCATATTTTAAAGTAGATGAATTAATCTTAGAAAAGAAATATACTCCTATAATCTAATCTTTCTGCTCTCCTCAAAACCATTGGTTATATATACTTCAAATATTTTTAAAGTACGATAGAATAGCTAAGGGTGGAATTTTGATAGTTTATCATGCATTTTTGTATAAATGATAAACAATTTATCAAGCAATACCAAAAATAAACATGATTAGCAGAAAGTTTCTTTATACACAAATAATTTATGTAAAGAAGGTTCACTGACTCCCACAACAATGCAATTCATATATTGCATTATCATCTATAAAATCATATAATGATAAACAATGTGAATGCATCCAAATGAAATCCGAATACAGACATCGATAGTAGAAAAACGATCAAAGAAACCATAATCGAAATTCCCGGAAAATACCTTTGTGGTGAACTCCTTGGTTCCGGCTTGGACAACATCTGCGGCAGATTGAGCTGCTGATGCAGCTACTAAAGATAGCTTCCCAATCCCCTGCACCAAACACAAATCAGCCAATAACTGATAATTATCAGCACAAAAACTTCACCCAATTAAGAGAAGGAAAGAAATATCTCTTAACCTGAGACACAAGAGCACATCCCCTTGAGAATTATTAATATTCCTCTGGGTAGGTATAGGACTCGATCCAAACCAACATATTTCCCTCCTTGCGAAGGAGGAAATCCTTCAGGTCTAGATTCATTCTCCGCCATTTTTCGCAAAAAAGGTCTCCTTATTGGCCGCCGAAGCCTCCAATTGGGATCTCGTATACATATCCTCACTCGACCTCGACTTCACCGGAGCACCTCCCATTCCACCACCGTGATAATTCCCTGATCTAAAATCACTCGCCGATTGGTTCCTCCTCATGTCGCTCGAAGATCTAAAGGAATATTCATTATCCCAACTATCCCACCCTCCATCATTACCGCCCCGGCTACCTCCACCGCTCAACGGCGGCTTCCGATTACCACCAGCACCACCGTTGAAAGTCTCCTTCGCAACAGGCGGATCCCTCCAGGCACGACCCTCGGCTAGGGCTTGGATACGATCGCGGTAGATACTCGCGGCATTAGTGTTATACTTGGTAACGATATCGGTTTCTTTAGGAACACCGTATTGTGCCAAAAAGGCGTTGAGCTTCTCGTTACCACCGGATTCTATTTTCTTGACCTGGATGTCGGACCACGAATCCATGGTAACGGATCGGACGAACGAGATGTGGACACCTAAGCCGCGGTGTTTGCCGGAGCATTCTAAGCACATGAAAACGCCGTAGGAAACCGAAGCCCACTGAGGATTCTTTTGGTTACAGTCGACGCAAGTTTTGTTTCCCGGCTGTGATTGGAGATCCCGTAGTCGCCTCGTAGCCGCCATCTTTGAATAAGTTCTGAACCGAATTCTGTAAAGAAGGAAATTGACCTGTAAAGAACGATCTAAAATTAATTAAAAATAAATGGAAGGCTAAATTTTAGCATCGTCGAAGGTCAGCGATGGCGAGAAAACATCATAGCTCAGGGGAAATCATGGTGTGGTGGCTTTGAAATACTAGTTTCTGGGCATTTGATTTTCTCTTTTCTTTTTAAATAATTTTAAGTATAATTTTCAGTTTCCGTATTTTAATAAGTGTAAATTATACAATCTCAACTTTATTATATCTCCTATTTTACTCATTATATTTTTAAATTTTCTAATTTACTAATTAAACTTTTAAATTGTTCATTTTGAATTATTTTATTATTATTTTCATATGACGTGATATTTTTATTATTATTTGAAATAAAAATAATTTAAAATATAAAATAAAAATATAAGGTGGTCGAACGCCACCATCGACTGTCGTTGACAGTCGTAGATGACGGGCGTTCAGTCCCAAGTTTCATGGGTCGCTTCATCTCGATACTTTGAGTCTGAATTCAACCTCCATTTCGTTAGAACTTACTCCGAAGTAGATGAATTGGAGATCAAAAGCGAGGAAGTCAAAATATTTCAATCGAGATTCACAAATTTAAGATATTTTTCGGTGAAACAACCGCCAGATTTAAACTCAAGGGTCTACAGGAACCAACCTATGTAATTTAGGATCGAACAACCACCATCTATAGTAGTCGACAATGACAAACACTAGCGTCCGATCACATTCTATTTTAATTTTATATTTTAAATTATTTTTATATAAAATAATTATAAAAAATATCACATCATATGAAAGTAATGATAAAATAATTCAGATTAATTAAAATAAGAGTAATTTAAAAGTTTAATGAATAAATTAAAAAAAATTAAAAGTACAGTGAATAGAATATAAGAGAATAAAGTTCAGTGAATAATGATGTATTAGAATTATAATATGGTGCAATACTAATAATCATGTTCGATATTGATCCTAGAATGATATATTAGAATTATAATATGGTATCGATACTTTCTTTACGATACTGATACTACATACACCAAATGATTCATTTTACATATCAAACTTGCTTGCACTTCGATCAAATATACCGATACTCATTTACAACCTTAACCATACATTAAAACATCACCATATCACTTCATTTCATCTAAATAACATAGGATACACCCTTATATAAAAGGCTTTAATTTGATTCAATTTTCATAAATTTACTAGTATTATTGTCAAAATAATATAATTTAATGTTGATCCAATCTTATTTAGACATTTACATACAAGTTTAATTATATTTATCTAATATAAAAATAAATTAATAAACTATTGAATTAAATGTATATATAATTAAGCTAAAATTGAAATTCTTTTATACAAATAAAATCAAACATAATCAGTATTAAAACAAAATTGCTATACATATTTCGTATTATCCTTTAAAATTTTTATTTCAGTAAAGTCTTAGTCTTTAACGTATAAATAACGCATAATCTTTCTCCTATGCTCAAGTAAACATAGGTTTGTCAAATAATCTGATCAGAAAAGAGTAGCAGTAATGCTTTAGTTATAAGGTTGGTAGCTCACAACGTTGGAGGTTCAGATTGTACGTGGAAAACAATTAAGCAGTCCTATCGGCTGGCTCATAAGGTTTATTAAACGATAAAATTAATATAAAAAAATACAATCACTGAGCTATAGATCCATTTTTTAATTTTGCAAAAACTTTTAGATTTGTAACTATGGGTTAAATGAACACTATTTTTAAATTTTTGGCAATAATACCACTGAACTATTTAAATAGGTTTAAAATAGTCACACGCCGTTAGCATTTAACAGAGGTGTTTACGTAGCAGTTAAAAACATTAATCTATATGTAAGTTCTCACTTTTATTTTATGTTTTCATATCTCAATTTATGTGTTTTCATATTCTCAATTGGTCTAGATGTAAGTTTTTTGTTACAACACTTAAATAAAATAAAAGTGAGAATTGAAATGAATTTAGGTGACCAATTGAGAATATGACAAGACTTAAATCATCAAATAAATCTAATAGTTTATTTATAATGATTTAAGATTTTAATATTTTTAAACTAAATTTATTGTTTTGATATTTTTTAATGATTATATATATGAAATAATTTAATATTCAAATTATATATATATTATAATTAATGATATATATATATATCATTAATTTAATAAGATTGTGATATTCAAATATATATATATATAGTTAATGTTCAAATTCTAGTCATAAGATTGTGATATGTGT